CCTCGGCATAACACAGTCATAATAGATCGAAGATGGGCAGGCGCCCGGATTTTAACCCGGCGCATATGCTATCGCCGGGTTTGAATCGGGTCAAAACACATTAATGCCCGAAACCTAGTGCAGAAACTATTTACAACTAAATATTTCTTGTAAATAAAGTTTCGTTAAAATTTAATGATATTGTTATAAAATGTTTATTACTTTCCGATGTAGACGATCGATTCGCTTGAACATCGCATTGAAATAAATTGATGCAAAAAATCGTTACATCGTATGCATTTGATTCGATTTTCATAGACCTCGAGCCGTAATGTGCATCCTTAAAAAAGAGAATCCACAAGATTGCAAGGTGGATATTGTTTGGAGTTGTCTCTTTTTCGCCCAAAAATATTTTTTACATCGAAATTTTTAAAACGTGTGGAATTGTACCACATTTCGTATTCGCCGTTTCCACCTAATAGCAGTAGAGCTCCTTGTGAAAGAGTTCGTCCAGTGTAGTACTGCCACCTTGCCTATTTCTGCCGGCAAGCAGTAATGTAAGCATTTCTGTGTTCCGGTTTTAATGGCAGGGGTGCTGGCGAAATTACAGGCACGTGAGATTTATCAACCTGTCTTTGGGCGACGGGCGCAGTGGCAGTGCCCTTCAGATTTTTGTGTTTTGAAGCTCTGAGTGGCGGGTTTATTGGGATTTATTCCACTGCCCATATCGATGGGTCTTAAGTATAAGGGCCAAACTAACAATTAGATCATTTTCACTTCTTTGTGGGAAATGCTTCATTTCATTATAAAATGAAGCGCTTACCACATTGACTTACAAATAAATGGACGACGGGTCTAATACAAAAACCACGAAAAAAATGTCCCAAGTCAACCTATTTAAACGTAGTGACATGTAAAGGAATATGAAAAAGCTAAAACGTTGAATTTAAATTGTAATGTCATCGCAGTACTGTCTAATTTTGCTTGCTTCGCTGTCAGTCGAACAAACGAAGACTAGAGCGTGAATGACGCTCTGTATACGATTTTAACGCCCTATAAGTTAAAACACTTTTTAGCGCGGACCCGACGTCCATATAATTGTAAGTCAATGGCTTACCACAAAAAAGTTGGTGATTAAAGATGTGAAAATGATCAAATTGTTAGTTTGGCCCTTATACTTAGGATCCAACGATATATCAAAAATCGATACGTCAAAAAGAGCTTTTACCACATGAAAATCATAAAAATAATACGATCTACATAAAACAAATGACTAATGATGATGAAGATGATGAAAATATTATGATTCTCCTATTTATCATATAAAGTTATCAACTAATTTCGTTCGTGAAATGTTAAACCTATGAAAAGTTGTCATTTTGGAGTTGTGACCATATTACACCATGGGTGCAAAGTTAAACACGTCGAAGCCGTAGTAAATAAATATACAACCCACCCCTGTGAAAGAAATTGCCCCAAACTCCCCTTTTTATGATATTTCTAACTGTGACTATTTAAGGTCAACAAGCACTTTGTTGCCTCTGCAATGCGTGGTCAAAGACATTTCATAAATATCAGTGTAGCAGCACTGCAGTGTCGTGTGGCGCCTACCGCTACCGCCTGCCGTCTGAAGTGTACAATGTTGAAGTTAATGTAATTTGTACCATCAATGTCAGCACGAAATCGATTACTATTCAATAATTGATGTGAAGTACACATGGTCGCGGTATATCCATGAGTTGATAGATATATTTTGTGCATTGATGATATATTTTGTATAATGAAACGAGCAAGTGATAGCCCAGTGGGAGAATGGTTGCTACACAATTGCGCGGTTGCCAGTTCCCTCTTGCGGCATGTACCTATGTACCCACGCAATTTAGAAATTAAAGTGATTGAGTGAAGGCGTGTCGCTTAATGGGGATTTTTTTGATGGGACGAACGAGTCGTGCCAGTCGTGGTTGCAGAGCCACTCAGAGCTTTAAATACCAAAGGTTTGATGGGCACTGTCACTGTGCTCGTTGACATAATTTGACAGTGTCCCTGCCTGTAATTTACCCTTCAAAACCAAAACGCAGTAATGCTCACATTACTGTTTAGCGGCAAAAATAGGTAAGGTGGCAATACTTCCCTTGACGAACTCTTTCACAAGGAGCTCTAGTACTACTAATTGTAAACATACAATTAATGGGAAATGTAGGATTAAAATAATTGTAAAATAAAACACACTGTATAACTGACATCAAACGATAATAGCACGCAATTTGATCAGTTCCGGGAAAATTCAATACGTAAGTAAATTCAGTAACGTTAAGATTCCAGGGAGCATAAAGAGGTTATATTATACAATTAAAGACGATATTATTGATATGAGTATTGTTTACTTTTTTTTTTGCAACAGCTCCTTATCCCGTAGTCAAGAACCCCTAACACTGTAGGTACGGACCTACAGTGTTAGGGGTTCTTGACTACGGGAGTAATTCTCGTAACTAGCATTAAGTAATCTTTTCAGGGAACATATTTTAGGTCAAAGTAGAAGTCAAATAATCATTTATTCCATAGGTAACATTTGTACACTTGAAAACGTTACATTTAAGCTACTGCTCGTTCATTCCCGGAGAAGAACGAGCAAGAAACTCTAGGGATTGCTCTTTTCAAATAAACTTAAATGCTATGGAATACACTTTGAATCAAATTTGTGTGGATTTTGGAGCCGTGTCGTCTTTCCATACATCTTTATCTAACCAATACTCTTCAATGTTGTAATATTACTTTTCAATTAAAATACTATTAATGTAAGTTTTAAAATGATAATCTTAATATATGCTCCGGAATATTATTGTAAAAACGTATACAGTTCACCATAAAAGAATCGTTTGCCTTAGTTAAACGAAATCGTGGTACCATGAGTTTGGACTTAGTTCTAAGGTTAATATTTTGGATATCTTCTTTCTTAATGAAATTATGTATATTTTTACGGGCTTCCAAAATATTTGAGTAAATGTACTGTGATGCCACAGTCATGATACCAGTCTCCTTAAACTTTTCTCTGAGAGAAACCCGAGCACCTAAAAGGTGCACAGAACGAATCGCTCGTTTTTGCAACACAAATATGGTTCGTATATCTGCCGCTTTACCCCACATGAGAATCCCGTAGGGCATTATACTATGGAAGTAACTAAAGAAAACTAGTCTAGCAGTAGCAACATCAGTAAGCTTACGTATTCTACGGATTGGTTTAGCATTATCTCGAGTTGTAGACTATATCAAGCTCGTTCGTATAGCATAAATTTGAAATTATTTGCGTTGAATATAAGTAATTGCTTATGTTTCTGTATATAAAAATGTAGATGCATGACGATTATTGGGTTATGAAAGCCGAATTATTAACAGTCGTCTTCACAAAGTCACAAAATCATTATAGGGGCAATGAATCGAATATTCAATGTTTGCCATTTGCGAAATTCTAAACTAAAGCGAAACAATTTTACCCTAACGGTGATTTAATATTTATAATATTATGAAATTTTCTTTTTATGGTTTCTGCGTCAAGTAACTACGCTTCCAAACAAAGATGGTAATAATCTATAGTATTGGCCCGTTTAAATAAACATTGTAATTGGTAAAATATGTGCTCAAATGTTTATTTACAAAGAGCAACGCCTAGAGTTTCTTATTCACTCTTCTTAGGGGAATTTGCCTTTTTTTATGATTCTAAAGACGGGACGAACAAGTATACGCCTGGTGGTAAGCGACACGCCTGTCTGTAGCAGTGTAGTACCACGCAGAGTTTTAAATCGCAAATATCTAAGGGGCACTGCCACTGCACCCGTCACCCTGAGACATGAGTTGACAAGTCCCATGTGCCTATAATTTCACCAGCACCCTTCAAAATCGGAACGCAATAATGCTTACATTACTGCTTGGCGGCAGAAATAGGTAAGATGATAGTACTTCCCTGGACGAACACTTTCACAAGAAGTCATACTGCTACAAAATAAAAAAAATAAGTATTCGAATATATTATCTGGAAATATTAAATAACATTTGAGAATATTACATTCGAATATTAAATAATATTTCATGATAATATTCTAGAATACCTAAATAATAAATTGCCGCCGAAATGAGGTAGAGAACATTAACCTGAAAATAACCCAATGACCCAACTGTAATCGGAGTAAAGCAGTTACATGATATCGAGTTCTTAGGTTTTCGCGATTGTTACACATAGAAAATGTAACTACGAGTATTTTTCCGGATTTAAATAGCATTTTTTTTGTTTTTTTCAAACAAACTGACGTTTCAGACTCTTTACAAGTCCCATTAGTTAACCGTGACCATGGGACCTGTAAAGGGCCCGAAACGGTTTGTTTGAAAAAACAAATATACGCGATTCAAATCCGGAAAAATGGTCTCATTTCCAGTTACATGATATCAAAAAAAACAAGCGTCGTCCATTTATAATTTACTTACATACAGTAAAGATACAGTCGAGATCAAAACATCAAAATTTTTAAAACTTAAAAAAGAATATACATAACTAGCAAACAAGCGATGATTGGCTTTGTTGTCTTTCAAGAAATATATTGATGATATAGTTATTAACTTATAGGTAGTAGCACGCGGTACAATACGATTACGTAACTAACCTAACCTAACATTAATTCCTACCAAATTTTAAGTTACAACTCACAAATTATTTGCCCAAGGCTCCAAAAGTTCGGGACCCCGAAGCAGAGATCACTCGGCGATGAATACGACAGTGCGTCTTTAAAAAACAGACCAAAAAACCTTAAACTTTAGGACTAGGTACCCAATGTAACAAAACGAACATCGACAACCTTGTCACCGTCAGGAATCTTACCATAATCTCCAGCTGATTGCTCCAGACAGCTACGAGCCAACGAAAGGGACAGTAATAAAATAAACACCACCACGCGTATTCGCTGAAGCAGGACAAAACAACTCTGAATTTAGTCGAGCTTAATTTCTTGGCTTCAGGACTAATTAATTCGTTAGACATAACATTAGACGAGTAAAAGCATACGTAGTCTCATAAGTGTGAAAGGGACGGCCGGTGGCAAGTTTCCAAGATGAATCTAATGTTTCGGAAGAACTTCAGTACTGAGAAGAGTATAGGTGGAGGAGGCGGAGGTGGGGGGAAAGCAAAGGGGGCGCTGGGTGCAGGCAGGAATGCCAAACGGCGCGATAGAGGATACTCCTGCATGGAGGAGCACCACTACAGAACACACCTTTTCTTCTCAGCGCCTCGCTCCAGCGCGCAGTATAACGACGGATCAGGTACAGGTAACAAGAATAGAGCTAATAATATTACGAGTGACAGTTTCTATTGTTGCAAACAACATCAACAGCTTTCTGAAGTTGATGTCGTTTTGTTTACTTCCGAAGTTGAATACAAAGTAAGTTTTAAGTTAACGATTATTTAGTCTAATAATATCATATGTTTTTTTTTGACTAATTTTGTAGCAAGCGTCATATGTATAACGTGTTCGTCATTAGTGGTTCGTTAATATCGCCAGTTTGCCACGAGCTCTCACAAGAATGCTATAAATACCGTGACAGATGGACGGACAACTTCTAATGCTTGTACTACAAATACGCAGTCATACGCATCATGGTCCACTAATGGTAGTAAACAATGATGTGTATAGTAACTAGGTATCTAACAATCTCATCTAACGTCGTCAATTATATGAATCCTAAATACAAACTCAATTTTTAGGCGTGTTTTTCTTATTTACCAATACCCTCTCAATAGTTAGACTAACTTTTAGAATTTAGAGTGAACTTGTTTCAGATTTTAATTGTTTCATGAATATGAGACACATGTTCAAAAGCTGTCGTGAGAAACGGGGAGTTGCAGACTCGATTGTCAATCCCCATTTGCTATAATTATTTTATCAAAGCTACATGACACAAAAACAAGCCAGCTCTAACTTAGGCACCTCTTCGAACCACTTGAACCATCAGCCAATACCGCTGATTGTACGATTTCTCCTTTGAGATATCCAAACTGAGCAGTCATCGTCATCTTAATTTCAGCCAATACTATTCCTTCCCCGTATACTAGGTATAGATATGACAAACAGCTCGATCATCAATCGCGTCATATCGAATCTTGCATTTCCTTCGCACGAACCGGTTTTAGCCAGTGTGCGTCGCTGGCCGACAGTTTGGCTGTAAACACCAAACACTCTATTTCAGTGAGGTTATTTACTATCGTGCAACTTCGGGGTTACAACATCTAGTCAAAATATTTTGTAGACGCCATACTTAGAACACGAAAAATATTCTAAAACTCTATAAGAATCGCGGAAACTACCGCTCCAGTGAAAAGGTTCTGTATTTGTGACCGTTCCGTAACCTTACTGTTATCTATTAAGAGCCGCCAAAGCAATCGCGACGTATATAAATGTACAAAGGTAAATTTGGCACGAGACGCAGGAATTAATTGCCCATGAGTTACTTCTATCATTATAAACAGCATTGGATCATTCGCAGCAGTTCCAAAAAGTTTGTAAAATTCACCTCATTAGAACTCGTTTGGCATAGACCTATTTCACTTCCTACGATCCACCTACGATAACACTTATGTCAATCCCTAATCCTAATTATACATTTTCCCCTTGACGTGGTTTTTACGGAGCAATTAACCTTCATTACTTCAACTTGAAATGAGAGACCGGTTTTATATTAATAAAGAAATTATCGTCAGTCGAAAGTCCAGTTCACTTCAGTCCTCTCCTAAATACATTAATGGATTACCAGTGGTCCTTTGCAACCCTCATTAAGTCATAGATTGGGGATGTTTATACTTATACGCCTACCGTGGTTGCTAAGAGAACTTTTCTGCATATTTCAGAACGATGCGGCCCAGTGATCGGTGGTGGCACGGGGCCGGAGACCGAGCCGCCGCAGCCATTGGTGACTCGCGAACCGTCGGTGTCGCTGCTGCGATGGGAACGACCGGTCGCCCCCACCGCTTCAGTGCACGATCGCCACCGCCGCACCGAGCCGCTCTCGCTCGCCACGCTTGAACGCGACTGCTTCGTCATACCGGCGCACGCGCTTAGTCGATTTCTGCCTGATGGCGTCCCGGTTAGTACCAGTCATTTTTACTACTAGCCTTGTTAGAATTGAAATCTACAATAGCAACAACAAAGATAGAGTGACGACTTGCGAAGGGCTGCTGGCAGCAGACGGATGCAACGACTGAGGACCGGGTGAATTGGCGCGCATTGGGAGAGGCCTACGTCCAGCAGTGGACTACGATAGGCTGTTGATGATAATGCAAAATCAAATTCTATTATTTGATCAACATACCACATTTTGCGCTAAAATCTACACATAAGAGTATAAACAAATGCAACGGTATAATTATATTTTATACGTCATTTTAATATTTCTATATATTTATATTTCACTTCATGGCCTAGTGCTTCAGTCAATATTATTAACTGCTTATGTACACTATTAAGTTAATAAATATTGTTTTCACTTCTCATGCTCTTAAAGTTCGTATTTATGCTGGGTGTAGGCTGCATAAAATAGGATTTTATGCTCTAGTGCATAAAATAAAATCGTCGTTTAAGACCGGCGCAATGACGCCTGCGCCAACAGCCACGCACACTAGAACTTTAAAAAATAAAGTTTTGCTTTTGTTTTTTTAATACGTGTTACATTACAAAATTAAAAAAGTAATTCTAATAAGTTATAAGAAATGGAAATGCATAAAAAATAAAAGCTTGTAAAATATAACTGAGCATTATGTAGTCAGACCTGAATCACGTGTAGAAAAAAAAAAGTAGTACACACGCCAGCACATCAAGCTACACATTGACGTATCTTGTTCCGTTGCACTGGAGGCGATTTTCGAACAAAAATGGTCTGTTGTGTCGTTTTCTTGGCAATAGTTGTGTTATCGTTTATTTGTAATATTGCTGTTTCATTTCCTCGCAATCGAAGTGAAAAGCAGAGTGTATAACTCGTTTATAAAAATCATTTTACCCTCGACTTAAGAATCCACTCGTCTCGGGTAAATTGACGTTTTATGCACTTGCTCTACAATCTACTAAATTTTCAGCTTCCAGTGCCGCTTCCGACGCCAGAGAAAGGAGTGGCGAACAAGACGCAAAACGCGCTCAGCATACTCGAAATAGCGGACCCCAAGCTGTGCATACTAGCTCATCTCATGAGCCCCTTAGAACCAATCGAACCTATCCTAGAGTCTCCTCTAGCTAAGCCTATTATAAGACAGAAAGCAGCAGCGGGGGAATTGCTGAATGAAGTGGCTGTGGCTAATACAGCGGTTGGGGGAATGTTATTAGCGAATATGGAGAAAAACGCCGAATTCCCATTCATATCGTATTATGTGATAAATACGACGCAAACAGACCCGTTGCTTTTTTACAACAACATGCGCAGTGCGTCGTTGGGCAAGTTCGATCCGAAGACGATACGGTATTCGGCTGCGCACACACTAGATCTCTATAGCGAAGTCGCGATGATATGTCGGCCGCCTTTCAACGATTTGGCTGGTGGCCCTAAGAAATCGCATACGCCTACTACTGGATTCATTGTCAGTGTTTACAAGGTTAGTATGTTCATCTGACATTTAAGTAATGTTTTCGAGTCTTAGTCAAGGTTCCAAATAACTAAATTCCGTTATAAAAGTGTTCACATAATATTGTCAAAAAAAGTTCATGGCCGGGTCACGTGACATTTATTATTGGACTACATATCGCCTTGTAAATTAAGCCTTTGATTACGAATGACTAGAATATATATTTCAGCCGCAAGACACCAAATTTAAATACAATCCAATTTTACCTGACGAACATAAAAGACAGAGGAAGTATTGGTCGTACCACAATTTTTTCCCCTACTTCCAGGTATTCGAAGGCGATGACGGCGAGCGTTTCGAGCGCAATTGGCTATACTGGACGGGAGCGAGGATGCTCTACAGACACCTACCACATTCCGTGGGCATGAGAAAGATTGCTCTTCACAAATCCGTCGCCTCGCATGGCGACAAGATGTATTTACTCATTTGCGAATGTGCCAACTTATTAGACGACTTGTCAGGAGCTGCTATGATAGTAACCGCGCTAAGAGCCAGACTATGTGGATACACGGGACTTTATAGACCTATAAAGGCTTTCTAGTAGAGGGAACAGAGCCCGAAAGGGCTCGACTGTGTCGTTTTATAGGACTTTCTGGTAAGGTAGTTGGTTTTGTGCGTGTGGGAGTTTGGGAAGATGAAAAGTGGATTCTTGTAACAAAACCAGATAATGTAATGTGTGGCATATGTGGTATATCAAAACACGTGGTACAATGTGTATTGTTCGTAGGCCATAGTACATAAAGATAAATTGAAACAAGAGATATTTTTCCAACAATAAGGTTCTTTACCGGATAAAAATAAAATTAGTAAACTGAAGAGAGAATCCACATAATTTCATCTTTAATTCCATCGAAAGTGTGAGACAATGTTTACTACGTAAACTTCTAAACAGCCTGTTGTATCTCATTTATTTATTAATGGGCTTAAAGAGCGTACGGTCAACGTTAGCACTAGTTGTGACAATGGACCAATGTATTACATTATAAACGAATAAGAAGGTTTAGTCTGGTTAGAAAAATAACATTATTTTTTTCTGAGAAAGATATTGTGAACTATTTTTCCCGATATAAGTAGAAATCAGGGACGCCCAAAACACTATCCAATATCGTTTCCCCGGGGGTAACATTGTTATTTTCCTAGTCAGTGTTAAGATTATTGGAAACGAATGACGACGCCTCGTGTTCTCTCGCAAAACGTAGAATAAGGGAGTCACCAAACTTATTAACGCGGAATCGTCTTGATGCGATCGTGTTTAACCAAACTTGTCGCATTAAGCCGATTCGCCGTTTCCTGGGCCGTTTGCGCGCCGTCGCGCCAGTTGTTTCTAGACCAAGGCGTCTTCTCCCGTTCTTGGTCCGAAACAATGATTGCCAAATAAGTAACACTCGACCAAATCAAAAAACAATATCAAGTATGAAGCTTAAATTCGTATCACGCGTCTTGTAATTTGATCTATTGGGTATGAATTTGATATATTGAGTATTGATCGAGTTATACTAATTTAACAGTAATTGTTTCGGATAGATGTCGAATACGAGAACAGGAGTATACTCCCTGGACCAGCAGTCGCGTCGTCGGCATGCAGATGCGATTGGAAATTCGCAGGAAAAAAATTTGTCGTACGAACCGATGCGAAACGCACGTCTTTTTCGCTCATCCGCACGTCTTATTCGCTATTCCGTTCATGGACATAAAAGCTTTTTCACCGGTTTAATGAGATTCTGCATTAATAAATGTGGTGACACCCTTAGCGATTTAAATATTTGAATTTAGGAATTTCTATTTAATAGATATGCTTATTTTATCTGCAAATAGATACTATTCTAATAGAAAAAGAATTATCTGAACATTTTCGGAATATCTAGGCATTTACTGCCAATTTAAAATCGTGCTCAATAAGTGTTACAGTAAACTACTTGGAACCAGTATTAAAACTTCAATACAAGATATTAAAATTAAGGACTTTCCTTTGGGGTGTGATTCCACCTGTCATAAGGTTAAAAATGGGATATAATAAAGGCTCCGAAAAACAAGTGAAATTGCAATGAGCTAATTGCTAATTATTATAATAAATATAAATATTAGACATCAACACATACGTTGCCCTGATTCCAAAGTAAATAACTAAAATATTGTTTTATGGAAATCGAAAACAACGACGGTACCTGGAGGTATACTTTAGTTCGGAAACAATTACTCTCAAATAAACGTAGTTAAGCAAAAAGGATCCAATCCACAAAATTATCAAATAATGAGTTATATGTACTCATTATTTGATAATTTCAACAAACGGTTCCTAAAATCTAACCTCTTAGATCAGCAAAAAAATCCAATACATAAACATAATAAACATCTCTGGAGTAACATGACATTATAATTATTAATACAAAGATCGAACACTCAGAAAAAATTCCTTCGATCCGGTCGGATTCGAACCGACGTCTTCTTGCATACCGTGCCAGACGCTATACCAACTAAGCCACGGAACGAACCAACGGACCTCACGAATTTTTCTATGTGCTTGCGTCGTGTCTTTGTACTTGGTCTTTCAACGACTTTTTAGTCGTAGCGCCATCTATGAGAAATCTATTGCAGATTTATCACCCAGTTAGTACCTTTACAGCTACTTTACAGCTTTAGTACTAACTGGGTGATAAATCTGCAATAAATAGAATTTTTTCTGAGTGTTTTTTCTGAGTGTTCGATCTTTGTATTAATAATTATAACAAACTAGTGGAGTAATTTCACAAAAAATAATTGAATATCAATTCAAGAAAAAAAAATTAATTATGACATTATAAGTTTTGAGAAAAAAACAAGAGTGAGAAACACTTTTAAACTTCAAACTGCCATATCTCGAAAGAGACTGGGTGTGCATTGGATCCTTTTTTAACTACGTCCAAATAAGTAATACTCGACCAAATTTAAACACAATGTGCAATTGTGATGGCATGTGGAAATTAAAATACAATGTCAAGTGCGAAGCATCATTTGCATCATGTTTCTTTTAAATTTGGTCGAGTATTACTTATTTGACAGTAATTGTTTCGGACGGAGAACGAGAGTAGACTCCCAGACCCGACACAATATAGAAAGTTAGTTTTTTCTACATTGGCTAGGCCGGGGATACATCCCGTGCAAGCCATTCGATCACGGAGGTTGTCAAACATAAAAATAAAATAAAAAACAAACGTAATACTAACTAAGCGGCGGGCGTTAAAATCAGTTACTGAATAATAAACAAAAAATATATTGAACAATTTATCATGTTTAGCAAACAATCAACCACTTGTTAAAATCACAATTGTACGAAAAAATTGTACTACGCAATAATTTATATTAAATTGGTTTGTACAAAATGTAAATAATTATAAAATATAAATTAACTTGGTAGAGCAGTATTGCGTCAGCAAGATTTTTCGGAACTTGAGTATTTCATTCGTCTGTTTCCGTATTCTCATTTGCACAAAAGTTTTCGGTAAATTAGTAAATAATGCAGCAACATTTATATTTTTAAAAAAGCTCATTTTTAATTTACTTTTCGGGGCTTTTATTAGTACTTTGTAAATGTATAATGATTTCCCCACACATTTATTTTTCAAATTTGTCAATGCAAATATCACCCTCTTAAGGAAAAACCTTCATTCTTCAATATATTTATATTTTTGCAGTAAAGTCTTCCAAATTAAAGAACAATTGAATCTACATCATTTTAAGAGAGCAAATTGTTTATTTAGTAATTCTGCATATCTTAAAATACATATCAAGCCGTATACGACTCTACTTCTACGAATAACGCAACGCTTTTTCACATATTCTACCAATTGATACTTATTACTAATCGAACAAAAAACATCGCTTGCTATTTCATTTCTTTGCAATTTAAACCCCACTTATCAGTATTTACTGCCTTTTGGTCCTTAGAAAGACATTAAATCGAAACAAGAATATTTAATTGATTTTCGTGATTGAAACGTCTGTAAAGCGCAGGCCACATCGCGAGCTAAACTAAGTTAACTTAGCCCACATAGATGCTTGCAACCAACGACGAAAGCTAAGTTAAGAAAATACGGGACCGTAGTGACTTGCTGTCAGTCGACTCTATTATCTTTCGTTGAAAGCTGCAGCTCAAGTGGTTCGTGGTACATGCACGTGCACTCTGCTTAACATGACCATTATTTGTTTCCTTCAGAGCAGGACGCCTACGCCTGTGAATTTATTAAATTGTTTTAAAAATAAAACACATGTTTATGATAGTTCAACTATTAAAAAAAGAACTTATATAGTCTGAGTCTCGCGGGCTGGCTTTATACATGTGTCGGTTATTACAGCAATGGCATAATTCAGTATTAAGTGAATTATGTCCTTGTAATTAAATTTTGAAATAATGAGCTTTTAGCAAGTTAATGTGTAGTAATTTTAGTCCTTTGAGTAATGCCATATAGGGGATGTTAGTGCAATTATTAGGGTTGCTTCACTTTTATAATGAAAAATATGACTCGATGTGATTCTATTAGGTAAGCAAAAAAATATGGACTTACGCCACTTTTATAATGATCGACACTCATATATTGTTCGCTTCTGCGCTGTTTTTTTAAATTTATTGTCACGTGGGTCATGTTTTGTGAAAGCGGACCAATTTAAGTTTTTTGCGGACAGCGGGATAAGAAGTTCAAAATTTCGACTGTCCCGCTCAAAGCGGGACGTATGGTCACGTTAACTATGCTACTGTGCGCGTGCAACTATGATAACACCATCGACATATGCATGGGTGAAGGGAAGCAGAAGGGCGGCGGTGTTTACTTAGCGGGTAGTTAGCCCATATTGTTAGCTCGCTTAGCATCGGTTACGGTCAGCACCGACGCTAGCACAACCAAACCCTGGCGCCTCTAGTAGGCGCGCGACCTAAATGGAATACTTATCAGTTATATTTTCCCCAATTATCGGAAATTTTGAATGCAAATTGTGCAATTGTAAATGATGTTGGGAAGCAATAACCTGTTTACTTCGTTTGCGCCGCGATAGATGCAGGCTCTTCGGAGGCGAAGCGGGCGGCGTCTTTTTTTTAAACTTAACAAATTATACAAACACAGGTACGTTACAAAACTCTGAAATAGTAAATCTTTACATGTTATATAACTCCGTAGTAAGACGCTCAAGGTTGTGTGACTGTGCCATTGCACACCTACAATGAAGAAAAACAGTTTCTTAGTAAAAAAAATGCAGATTTTTAAGTTGTTTGTTACAAATTACTTAATTATATTTATTGATAGGAAATGAAACTATTTTTCCGGATTTAAATCGCGTATACCTATTTGTTTTTTCAAACAAATCGACGTTTCGGGCCCTTTACAACAAGATATGAACAAATATACGCGATTTAAATCCGGAAAAATAGTTTCATTTCCTATGTGTAACAATCGCGAAAACCTAAGAACTCGATATATTTATTGATTTCTATGGCTGGCGGCTATTGTCGCATAACCTTTACTGTGAATGAAATATCGTTATATTAAGGTTTTCAGCTGATTTTTTAATTTGTTTTTCATCCTGCTAACTACCGCTTACGACCATAAGACCCTGCGCTCGTATGCACCACACACCCTGCACCATATGTAAAGCCGGCGCTGTTTACGGTGTGAACAGAAGAACGTCGCCTATTTCTCAAACTCGACAAATCTTAAAGCACAAGTTACTGAAATGCAAAAATTTTGCAAACTGATTTCACATCATATTTCCTTCATATCCACACACTGGCTTTTTACTTATTCTTATAGTAATGCACCCAAATTAACACCCTTGATAAGAAATTGAAAATAAATACAAAATTTTGTCAGCTCCTGATTAATAACTCTTTTTAAGATACGAGTTTGAGAAAGTAAAGCGTCGATAAGCTAACTTAGCTTAGCTTATCGGTGTGCCCTGCGCTTATTTATACAACGATTACTTTGTATCATTCATTGTTCAATGAAAAAGTGTTGTTAAAATATTAAAATATTGATAACCGCTTAATACGTCACTAGCACGATCGTATAACGCGTGTTTTGCTCTCCCGGGTCATATGACATCACATGAACACGCAGACCGTTGTGAACCAGAAAAAATGTTTATTTTTATTACGTAACTAATTACTGCTCTATCTCATGTCAATATCTGGGTCCATTACTAAATTATCGTAATTACTACAGTTCACAGAACAAAAATACCAATAAACGAAATTAGAAAATTTTTAGTACTTACGTAGTATATTAGTTCTTTAGTCAAGGTTAAAATAATTATAATATTAGTTTTTTTTTGTAAACGTAGCGACTTCCCTCCTTTAATAGTGACACTATACAAAAGTGAACAAAATTCCGCATTTTGCTTTGCGAAAATTCAATTACTATAATCATATAATATAAACATTCTAAATTCCAAGCTTGGGACAATAATTTCTACAAATGTTCAATTGTTATTCTCATGCAATAATTTAATTC